AGGGATTTGCCTTTTTCGGGTAAGCGTCATGTATATGGTTGGATGATTGGTTATTGAAGTTTGTATCAATGTTATTGTCGAGTATCTGATCTTTGACACACGAATGTTTTGATAGAAAATACAGATGTTTTAGAATATAATACACATGTTTTAAATTTAAACAGTGTGCTTTTTATTAAAACAGTGTATTTTAATGAAAAAAAGAGTCATATTGTCCCTATAAATTATAAAAACTTTTACTATGCACAAAGGTACGAAACATTAAACAATATGATAACTATGCTGGCAGAAACATAATATTTCAAATGTGAAACAGTTTATGTCCGTTTACTTCGAAACACCCGACACCCCTTGTATGTATACCCCGTGGTCTATGTATATTGTTTTGAGTTTACATTTATTTTTTCAATGGAAATTTGCTCGATGATCTACGATTGAATATGCTATTTCTTGGTCTCCCATTATGCCAATATGTTAGAGGTCACGCATCTAGTACTTTTGTGAGGTTATTGTTAATAATAATGTGAGGTAATTACGAGGATAACTCAAAGTATGCAGGAAGACAGTACAGCGGAGAATCGACCGACGCGCAGCAGCGTACTGTCTGCGTGCATAATTTGAGGTATCCTCGAAATAACCTTATTATTATACATCTTTTCCTTCCAAGGATACATTATGGGAATGTCGAAATCAAAAAAGTTTAGAACAGAGTCAGCAAACTACTTTGTGTGGAATCCGTTCAAACTCTGGTGGCAGCTATGTTTGTTTTTATTATTAAACGACGCTTAGGCGCGTAATTATTCCATATTTGGAATTCGCATTTCCACTATGATAGGATGAAAATATCCCATAAAATACCGCAAAATGTCGGGACACTCTGTAACTTATAGCGTTACGGTGACAAATGTATAATAATATTCAGTATTCGCTATGTTACATTCTTTTTGAACTGCTTGTCTCTTTTGGGGATTTCGAAATTCCCAATGATAAGAATATGTCCCACTCGCAAATGATTTCCGGATGTATGTATAGAGCCTCGAACAGAACAAAAATGTGCATAATCTTTAAGCAATTGTTTTAGTTATGTATATATGTACTTACCTATTCCAAATGGCAAGTGTACACGGCTTTGTTGAGTGAAAACTCCATTATTATCCAGATTTCTCTCAGGATCGAACTTCATAGGATTGGGCCAGTATTTTCCGTCTCCCTGCACGGACCACAAGTTTGGCACTACATAAGTTTTCTTGGGAATAAAATAACCACAGATCGATGTGTCTTCATTGGTCATACGAGGGATGCCGAATGGCGAGTTGGGGCGAATTCGAGTAGCTTCAAATAGAACTGCATTTAGGTAATGAAGATTGTATCTGTCATTTACATCTGAATCTCTATCAGGACCAATTACACGATCTAGTTCTGTTTGTACCTTCTTCTGCACTTCTGGGTGATACACCATCATTAATGTTGTCCATGTGAGTACATCACCAACTGTCTGGTTGCCGAAAAATATGTCGAGTAGGGCTAATATTAAAAAGTCATTGCTGAACTCCAACTCGGGCTGATCACGTCTCGCTTCAATCTCATCCAAGTAGCAGTCGATATAGTTTTTCCTGGCTGGTTTGTAAGAGTTTCCAAGTTTCTTCCGCAGTGCAAGTCTGTTCTCAATTTGACCTCTGATAAATGTACGTGCTACAAATATATGGCTGAGTACCCGTTTAGTGCTTCCAAATGGGATTTTGACCAATAAGGGAAAAATGGTCATCATGACAGCTGGGTTGGTATCCAAGGAGAATCCTTCTAATGCGTCAAAAAATTGTATAGCCTTTTTGTCATTATACTCGAATATATTACCAAAAATAAATTGACACTGGATGTTACAGACAGAATGATGGTAGAATATATCAGGATCAAAGGATTCGCCTTTTTTAGTATCAATCAATTCCTTCATCACACATTTTACCTCTGTTTGAATTATCTTGTAATAGTCATCCGTTTTTCCCCAACCAAACTCACGGATTAAAACTCTAGTAAACTTCCTATGCTCCTGCCAGTGTACACCTCTAGCGTAAGCTATTCCTATAAAAAGATAATTAGCTTTCATTATATACACTCAACCCGTTATATGAAACACATTCTCCACGTTTTCCCTACTTGTCCAGGTCGATTTAGAGCAATAGTTGCCAATATATATATATATATATATATACAGCGATTTTGTAACGTTTCGTAATATTGAAAGTGGCATAACCATTATGATAGTAGGTTGTTAAGAGCTCGAAACACATCAAATTGGGACAACGCACGCTAGCGACAAAAAGTTCATACCAAATAACTTTTTTCCCTTTTTCATTGATTTATTATGAATCCTGAGAATTGTTATTTCTGGAACAATAAATCTGCTCAATTTCAAAGAATCGAGTAATTATGTCAAAATAATGCTCATTACTATTATAATAATTTGTTAACACGGATATTTAGGGAACTAGGCACACGAAATGAAAATAATGATGAAGAGTATATATAAAACGTGACAGGTGTATTCCATCACATTGACTTAACCGACAATATGCTTCCCCGGTACCGCTATTCATTTTCAATTAGTTAATTTGAAAAGTAGATCTAGAGCAATACGTGATTGGTGTACTTTTGAACGCCACAATCTGTCTCTCTTAAATTTGGTTGGTAAAATTTTGCACTTTGGTCGGTAACTCAAAATTGTAATTTCCAGTTGTTCCACGCTCCTTCTCCTAATAATTAGGTTAGTTGAATTGTTTTTCTCTCGCAAATACGGTTCTCAAAGTTTTCCATGCAAATAGGCGAATTTTAAATATAAGTTTGTCGAAAGATGAATTTGAGAACAATATTTAATGCCTGTAAGATGTTTCTCACCTCTCCCTTGGTTGTCAAAAATTACAAGTCGAGTTGATCCAATTTTTAACCGAAAAGTTTCTATATTGTTGGTCAATACTAAAACGTTTAATTGTAAACAGATATTGACATGTAAAACAACAACTCACTAGTAGAAGTCCATCTTATGACGCTGCCTTGAGCTTATATAACAATATTGTTGGTCATTCTTTGTCACCATACATTCATGCTTGAATCGTCTTTATTAAGTTGGACACATTACAAATATGACCTTTACTTGACATTGGCTTTTAGTTTTTGGCAATTTTCATAATTTTGAATTTAACTTTTACTAGACTGTGGCCTTTGCAAAGCAATATCTCAAAATCTAATCACACCAGGCAAAGTATATGTTACAATAGCGTGGGAAGTTTTATTTGAAAAGACCCAGGATACAAGTGGTTAACGAGAATTCTTGAAGAGAAAGACTTGTTTTTTTGTTCTCTTCATTAGAGTTTGATTCCCCTGCGTCATCCCGGCACTGTTTCAAATCCATAATATAAATCAGCGAAACAGTTGACTCAATGACATCAGGAAATTGGACACCATTTGTGGGCATGAACCAAGTTCTGTAGACCTCGTTCGCAAGCATATCATGGCAGTCATTTGCGATTAATGATACTCCATATATTGTTTAATTATTAATACATATTAGCATCAGTAGTATACTGGGGTATATTTCGTTTTGCTTTCAAAATACAGGACTTGTATTTGCTCTTGATATATTGTTATTGTTACGTTATATAATTAACCTAACATAGCCTACCCATTGTTAGTGTTTATGTCTTTGTGAACAACCTTTTAATATGCTTACAATTCACACTGCTCACAGCCATAAATACCAATTACACATCTTGAATAATATAGTCACTTCCTCTTCAACCCAAATATCAGAGGCTCATTTATTACTATTTCAAATATTTAAAATACCAATTACGAGTTTTTAGGTAAAATGTAACGTTTATGTTCCAGTACGTCTACACTTGTTCTTTTGTGGTCACTCTTGTTTATAGTTTATCATCTTATATTATGTACAGTCACACAACTACACATTAAAAATTTTGCATTTACTCATCGATCATTTTCATAAATCTGCTCATCGTTTCCTGTGTGTGAATCTGGGAAAGCCCTTTTTTGGTGTATGCAAAGGCATATGTAACTACTTTGTAAAATTTGATAAAAAATATATTATTATTTTTCTTATTTTAACTTGTACATGAAGCTAACTTGCTGCATCTGATTAGACAAAATAATTTAGGGATGTTTTAGCTAGAACATAATTCAGTACGACAACAAACATCAGTATAGTGTTTTATTATATTTATTGAGTTTATCATATAGGTTACTACATTGATAATGTGTAGATGCTAACTCATACATATACAATGCAGGGAGACAATCCATGGTGGTTGTTTATGACGTCTATTAATACTTCATTTTCATTTTAATCCCTCAATACCGAATCGTTTTTCCGAGGAATTCTCGGTTTTATCTTCATTCTGTTTCTTGATCGCATTATCATCATCTTTCATCTCTCTTCCAATTTCTTTAAGAAGGACTCCGAATACTCTATGTACTTGTATCACTGACAGTGTTGCCAAGAACAGCAACATTACAAGTCGAGTTGATGCCATTTCTACGTGAAAATACACAGTATATATCAATACTCACAGCTCATAACAAAAATACGCTGAACATATTCACCAACATTCAAAAAAATGAAATTCAAAGAGATGTTAACCGATATTTGAACAAACATTGATGCGATTAAAATTTTCACAGTAGGAATTATTTCTTCAGGAATCTTCATACTGCGATATTGGAACAAGTTAATCTATTTGGACTATTGTTCATTCTATAACACCGTTATGTACATAATGTTAGTCACATTGAATATCACTTGAATACAATACCTGAAGCCTTTCTATTGTATTTTATTAAAAAAACGGAAATATTCAGCCTTACCTGTTATTGTATTGCGACTGAAATTACTGGAAATGGTATGGTACGTTGTTGCTATAAATACGTCTTGGATAATCAGATTATGTTAAAGGTCGGCATGTTTATTCATCAGATGGTGGTTATCTTAATGAGAGGGATGTGAATAACATACTCTCAGACAAAAGTCGTATAGG